TCCAAGAAGTTAATTAGCTCAAGGCACAGATCTTTCTGCTTACTCCCAATACTTAATCTCTGATCATATTTAGGTTTTATAATCCCTATCAAGCGTTTTATTAGCTTTTGCTTTTATTACTCCTGTAATCAAGAAACACAATACATTGGACTTTTGTCTTGTATAACAGTTGGCCATTCTAAAAATATTACGTCTGTGGGTTTTTTACATTCTCTTCATTTAATACTTTTTCAGCCATTATAACATTAGTAACAAAGATAAGTACTTTATGCTTATGAACTTCATGCAGCAAGAACACAAGAGGAATACATGCCTTCCCACATTCCAAATATTTCTGCTAACACATATCACTTTGCATTTTCCACCACATGGGTGGGCAGACAGGTTTCACAAGAAGCCACATGCAGAATAGAAGTTGTAGCAATACCTGGGAAAAGTGCTTAACAGAACAAGTAATTATGTGTTCAAATTCTATTGAGCTGAAGTGGAATTCAGACCATAAAAAGTTTCTTCTTTGAAAATCTTGCTTCTGCCTTGCCCTTGACAAATGGAGCCCCTAATACACAGCAACATAAGCAGCACAGAATTTTTCTATTCTGAAGAGGTATTTCCATGTGGCCTCACCACCCTTTGAATTAAGGCATAGGGAAAAGCACCAAGTGTCAGTGTTAGCAGTCTCACACAGCTTGCTGCTGACGTGTGACCCAACAACTGCAACTGATATACACAATGCCTGCCAGTCACCCATACAGCACTGCGCACATTTGTGGAACAAGTAACAAATCACCATTTCCAGAAGCCCAGAGGGGACTCAGAATCACAGAGCTTACCAACGTGGGCAAGTGCATCTTACGCACTTAGATAATCTAGTAAGTGAAAGAATTATCCTTTTGCTATTAGACTTCAGAACGCTCCTCTGCCACAGGGAAGCAACATTCTCTATTCCACAGACAGAGGAGAGATGAATCTCTGTGTAACCATAAAGTGGCAAAGTTAAGAGGAAATCTCTACCTGAGCAGGGCACTGACTCTTGAGCTCCCGCCTGTCCAGCAGGAAACCCATCCCACAGATCATCAGTGCCTTTCAGATCCAGACCAGGAAAAAGCAGTGCTATTCTGCAAGCAAGAGGATCAAGGCCCACTGATGGCCCAAACTGCAGCACTGGGATACATTCCACATCAGGGGAGGTGCAGATTTGTAGTTAGTGGGCCTGGGCAGAGTCTAAACGTTTCTGATCCAACAGGAATCTTCCCTATTGTATGTTATTGTGTTTCCAATACCTGTCCCCTGCATCACCCTTGGCCCACTGGAGGCAGGCTGCAAGCCAAGCCCTCACTAGCTGTACACAAGCAACTGGAACACCACCTTACCAGGACTTAACTCCAGGGAGTACAGGCGCAGACAGGATTTGTTGCACTACCTGATGATATACTTCCCTGAAGTGCCAGTGGCCACATGCATTTCAAAACTGCCTCTCCTCCTCCTTGCATTTTAGTTGAGGGTATTTTACTTCCACTTTGAATAAAAAATAAAAATAAAATAAAAAAATCAGGAACAATGCGCCAATACAGAGTTTGGAAGGCAGCAATACAGTAGACTGAATACATAAAAAATGAGACCAGCTTTAAAACACAGACAAAAAAAGAAAAAACAAAGAGAAAAGTCTCAAAAATTATAAGGAAGGGTGAGCAAACTTGGTCTCTGTAGCTGGCACCAAGAAGCAGTCACGGCTTTTACCAATGCGAAAGACAATTAGATTCCAGCAGACTAACCAGAAAGTAATGATTATGATTGCTGATGCTGCAGACCGTGGCTGGCCTGCATTAGGTTAAGTAAGCTGGATGCAAGCCAGTATCATTGAACAAATGGCATGGCACATTCTGGAGGAATCTGAGAAGAGATTACTAATATCTTAAAGGTGACTTTTCACACATGCTATCCCAGCAAATCAGGCAATCCTCTTGGCTATAATGGACAAGATCAGCAGAGGCCAGTCTCTTGAAGTTATGCACTCTTCATACAAATAGGATTTGTTTTTTAATTTATAATAATTGACTGCACCTCATTTGAGCAAAGTACCCTAAGTGCTTTATTGGTTTATTTCACCCCTTCCCCCTGTTTTAAAGAAAACATAATCTAACTTTCCATTATTCATTATCATCCAGGCAAGCAGCAAGCTAAAAAAGAACTCTAATTTTTAGCCATATTGTCTATTAAAAAATGTAAAATGTTTCCTAAAAGGGCAGGTACATTAATTAAGGCTGCCTCAGAATAAATGAAAATTACTAAGAGCGCTTTGCTTTCCTGAATAAGTTTTCCATAGATTATTTATAATTGAATGAAACCAATTACAGCATTTGTAATGGAAACTGTATGTAAGTTAAACATTACCAGTTTTGCAGAAGCTGAAAACCATACCGCATGAACAGAAAAAGGTGTCTACATTTTTATGAAGGGAAAAGAGAAGGTATCATCTTTTCGGAAAAAAAAATTCCCCTAAGTAAAACAAACAGTAAATCACCGGGTACTAATCTCGTCAGCATGGCCCAAAAGGGCCCTTCGTGTAGCAGAGAATGAGACCCCAGATTCCAAGAAGCCATCTCACAGCCGGAAATCCTGAAGGTGAGGATTGAACTCCTTTCTGTTTCTTTGGAGAAGGAAATACATCTTAATTAGGCTCAATTTTCTAAATAATGGTTATCCTTTGTAACTAATCAGTAAAGTTTTAAATCAGTATCAGACTAATGCTTGCTCAAATAGTGCAACATGCTCTGTCTTCAAAATATAATCTTACCCTGGTGACAGCTGAAAAAGCTAGAAGACTGAGAATAACACACTGGCATATAGTTTTTATCTTCAAACAGTCTGCTATCCTACAGAGCAGTCCCTAAAACAACACACAATCTTCTTCTGTGCACAGGGATTTCGTTAGTGAGAGAAAACAAAGATAACTTTGGGGAAAAAAGAATGAATGTAGTTTCAAACACAACAGCACTTTCTGAATTCATTCTGAATGGAAGAAGGAAAACATTTAAAGTTACTGCTAGGGAACTGAGAAAGACCCAAATAAAATTATTTGAATAATCATTAAAGAAAATCCTCAGCCTGAAAGACACTTAAGAAAAAATTCTACTTCTAAATCAGCTAAAAGCAATACACTCATTGAGTTCACCTGTAATTATCTGATATTCACCTGGATTATGAATTTTACCCTGCCAAAAAGCTAAGCTAGCACATATTAATTACAAGGCTAACAAATGCAATGCAGAGTTATGTTTTAGCATTTTGTAACATGCTGCATATATTGCAGGAAATACCTGTCAGACCATTTTTGCTGCTAGTAGTCAGAAAGCTTAACTTTATTCCTCATTACTTCTTTCTAATCAGTAATGAAGCCGTGGGATGATTTAAGAGGTATCTATCTATAGTCAGATAAAACTAATATATATAATAGCGTACTTTTGTTTTCATTTCCCTTCTAGACTCACATAAAAATAACATCTGAGTGAAAATTAGAGTAGATGCAAGAACGTTGCTCCTTATGTGTTCTAGGTTTAACACTTCTTTATAGGATACATTATGACACTACCAACTAGACATTAGCATGATGAAGACCTGCTGTTCTGCAATGCATGCAGGCTCCAATGCCTACTGTGTGCTATCCAAGAACCTGCACAATTTTTTCCTAATTTTTCATGTTTATCCATGAATGTCAGATAAACTAGCAGACACAAGTGTTGTTGATGAAAAGAAAAGGAGAACCTGTGGCAACATGAACTGAGATAACTACAAATATCAAGTGAAAATTTTATCAGATTACTAGAAGTGGTTGGGGGTTTTTATAATCTACATATTACACTGACTGTAGGTCTCTAGCTCTGTCAGCTGTTCTAAACTGAGGAAAGCTGTGACATTAGATATCTTGGAAGGTTACAAACATACAGGCATTTTTCTCCTAGTAAAATACTTCCTTAGTTTAGAATACCTTCTGCCATAGCTTCTTTCTGCAGACTCTTTGAAGTATTATTTTCTCTTACATAATATGGTGACCAGAGTTCGGCACCGGAATTAAATTTTTAGATCTGTGCATTTCCTTCTCATTTGTTCTCTGCAAGAATTCCTTTACTTTCAAGACAGGCAGATCTATCTGCATTTTTTAGATTAGTCTTTACCCTGCTTAAGGTCACACTGCTTCATTTTTTTTCCATTGACAGTCATGTTGAATTTCTGCATCATTAGTCATTTCAATAATTTCTGGTCTAATCTTCAACACCTTGAGAGAACACCTGCCAGTCATATGCTGCTATTATCTATAAGAGAGTTCTACCATCTTAGTTTTTTCCTCCTTAACCTACCACTTACAAAAACAGATCCACTTTAAGTGCATTTTTATCCTTTACTTACGTAAATGATGTCAAATAAGTTTGATTTTTTTTTTTTAATGCTCTTTTTCCAAATTTTGTATGACAGGTATACTCATTATAGAGCCATACCACCTTCCTGATGTCTCAGTCAACAAAAAAACAACGGGACTGTAAAATTATAAAAGTTAATTTCTTTGACTTTATTTAGAAACCTACTTTTCTAACCCCTTATACCAATTCCTGTGGAATGTTCCCACACACTATAAATACTCACACACCAGGGAAACACCGCTCCTAGAGTTAAAGGATCAGATGTTTTAGAGTATGAAAATACATTGTTGACATCAAGTATAATATACCCCAATTTTTGTTTAGAAAATTCTGCAGAGAAGCAAGAGCTATCTGCTTTACAGCACCGCTTCTCAAGGAACAAACTTCCCCCCAACCCTTTCATTTCAAAGCAGAGTCTACTGAACCCCAACATAATCATCTGTAATGTTTTCACAGACCACTAAACAACGATCTAGTTGAAGACTAAAAACTGATGCAAAGACAACACCAACTTGTGTTTAAATGTTTATTCATCAAATAATTGAAGTGGTAAATGGGAGTAGCAAATAATTAGAGAACACTTACTGTAGCGGAGAGCTGTGGTCCATTCAACTGTGCATGCAGGATGGCTTCATTGATGGAGTTCCGGATTCCCATCAGTGCAATTTCCAGATCATGTGAGGCAGCCATTTCATTAGTCAGATATTCCAGTGTGGAGATATACTCCCTCCATTGTGCATCCAGTTCTGACACACTGGCCAAACAGCCCCTCATTACATTTAGACAATATCCGACACAGGGTCTGATTAGCGTCAGGCCCTGGCAATGCGGGCAGTACTGCATCTTCACTAGAGCTTTGCTACATTCCTTCGTAAGAGCTACATGTTCAGTAGTATTTATCACTTCAGTGCCCAGACTGAGGGCCTGGCTGAGCATCCTACTTGCCCAAAGAGATTTTGACAGCTCTGTAACCATGTTTTTCGAATAGCGTCCAAAAGGATTTATGTCTTGCCTTGTAAGCCGTAGACACTCTGTATAGTCCTCTGATAAATCTGTAATTCCTGGGTTTATTAGCCGACTATACACCAGAGGAAAGAGACTGTCAAAGAACCGTAATACTGCACTTTCCACTGTAGTTTCTGCACCCAGAATGTAGAGAGAGATGTCTGTAAAAAGTTCTTTAACAGGCTCTGCTGCTTCTTTTGCCATAGGTCTGTAAGCTGTCTCAAACAGGGAACTTGTGCGGTTTTCAGCGAAGCGAAGCAAAGACTCAAAGGCCTCTAAAAAGGGTGCAGGGGAGAGAAAAAACTAGAGGTTAATAGCAAGCACCTGACATCTTAATCACAGGACTAATATTGTCCTGAACAGGAACATCAATAGTTACATGAAATCTGCAATATGAATACACTAATAGTTAATACAGCTTTCATCAGCAATATGATTAAAAAAGACACCTAAATCTTACATGTGCATAATAAAGACAACACATAATACACAAATATTTTCTTTAAAAAAGATGACTGTATTCTCACTAGTTAGACGCTGTCCCAAACTATAGAGGTCAGTGAAGGACTCACACAGACTCCAGTGAGCACAGCCAAGGTCTCTGCAAGATGGCTTTTGTAACTGACACTGCATTTAGGCAGTTCAACTAGATACATTTCCAAAACATCCCTCTAGCTCAATGAAAGCTTGTGAGATAACTGAACACAAACAGAAGTTGAAGCTTTTGTTTCACAGTGCTGTGAGTGGGTGGCTGAGAGGCACTTCTTGCAAAGTATAACTCAAGGATGAAGGAAAGATGCCATGTGAATAAATTCTTTCCCTGTTAACATCAGCTAGGTCTGGACACCAGCCAGAGTGGTTGGGCAGGACGACATCAAGTCTGCTATGAGCCAAAATCAAAATGAAATAATAAAGTCAGGAAAACAGTATCTCCTTTAACTATATCATTTCTGAGTGGCCTAAAAAAAATAAATAATAAAAATTAAGGAGTGCCATGGTTAACACATTTCAAATTGTAGAAGGCAAATATTATACGCGCAAAACACTGATTGCGGGTACTAGAATTCATAGACAGAGACAAGGAAGGGATCAGCTCCCAAGATTATTTTTAATGACACAGAAGACAGTAATCCACACCATTCCTACTGCTTTCTTTGGAAGCTCTACAATAAAAAGCCTCTGACATAAATCATTCTTGCACTCATCAGGTTGGCGAGTAGTTCCAGTCAAGGCAGGAGACCTATCATTTTATGCCTCCTGAGGACTGGCCAGATAATGGGTTTTCAGTCTAATCCTACTCTACATTCATCTGAACATCACCATGCGATTCACTGCAATGTAACACAAACCAAAGTTGCTCAAAGATCAGGTCAGCAAAGGAGCAGATACAATACTGTAAGTCAAGATTAGCATACACTGGCAAAGTTTTGTAGAAAAGCCTGCTCAGTGCCTTCCTCTATTACATCTCCCTGGGCAACTAACTTCTTTGTTAGGATAAGCATTACAATCCCTTTACCACAAAGTAAAAAGTGATTTAACTAGACAGATAATACAACAAATCGTATTGTACGTTAAATCATCAGTATTTTACACACACGTGCGCTGTATCCTTCTTCCAGAGAATCACTTCAGCATTCCCACTGGTATTACAGCAACTAATACTCTGGAAGTGCTTATAAAATCCTAGAAATTAAGAATTCAGATACACTTCAGTTGAAAAAGAAGAAAGTCCATTCTCAGGCAGAGAAACATCTTGCCAAGTTTCAAACTGAGGCAGACTTTTACAGCTGACAAAAATTCTGAAAATTGGATTTATGATGGAAATATTGACACAACCTAAACTGACTGCAGTTAGCTGTGTGCTACTGCACACTTTATTAAAAGTTTTTTTGTTTGCCACATCAAATTTCTAGAGGAAACCTAAACCATTTTTGTTTATCATACTAAAAAGGCAATGGAAATATTCAAAACATGAAAACAGTGTTTTAAGTTTCCTCCTTCAACTACACATGCTCCCTTATGGATATTCAGCTTATCATTAGATTATGGGAGCAGGGACTGTCTCCTACAATGCCAACAGTCTTACGCTGTTGCTTTACCTTCCACATCCATAAAGACAGAACTGCAGACTTTATCCTCCTTATCTGAAAACTAAATGAAATGCATTTATGAATGTGCAAGTATCCTTATTGTGCCAAGAAATAACAGCCCCAGTAAAAGATGAGAGCAAAACAATCAATGACAACGTACATCCCAAGAAAACAGATGTCGCCAGCTTCCTGGGATACTAGGTTGTAGACTAGAAACCATGTAGCATTTTATTTTCAAGCCTCTTAAACTGTGAAAATTCTGCATTCAATTAAATAAAATTCTGCATTCTTCTGAGACAAGTATGAAATCAAAATAGCATCATTTATTTTTCATTGTGTAAGAGTAAAATTGTGATGGTATATAGCTTCATTCCTCCTGCAAAAAGAGCCCTAACATCAAAAATATGGTACAAAAAAAACATTTCTGCTGGTTGTAGATGTGCTGCAAACACCCATAAGGTATCATTTGCTTCCTTATCACCACTGGTCAGACTCAAAAAATTACTCATGCTTGCAGGCACTCTACCAATGATTGGCTGGTTTGAGAAGGAAATATGTAGGTCTTTTTTCATTGTTAGGGCATTAAGAGATGTTTGAGACAATCAAATTACTGATCAGCTAGATGTTCTTAGACCTTTAATTAGCTCCATGCAGTTGAACAATTCTGTAACAATGGACAGCTTGCATTCTGGTTGTACAGAGCAGGCAACCTTAGCAACCTTAAAAGTGATTAATTATATGCTTTTAATACACCTTATATGGTACTTTGTACAGAGTTTCTAAATCCCAAGGAAGGTTTACTGCTATCTGAAAAAGCGGGTGCTCATCTGTGCAGTCAAATACAGCAAACTTTAGACATTTATGAACTTGCAAAAAGCTGAATTCTAAGCCTAAGCATACACTGGGATAAACATTTGATCCTCTTTCACAGCCTTTGGCTACACCCCCCCTCCCCCCCCAGCAACATACAATGTACTATAAATTGCAAATATATTGATCCTGAACAGAAATAAGCCATAGCCAAAATCATCCAGTTTGATGGAAACATTATGTATCTTTTGTCTTTCTTTCATATTAAAATAAATAGGAAGGTGAAGAACAAGGTTTGTTCTCATGTTCCTCAAAAGCCCCTTTTCGGTTTAAGACTAGAAGGCGAGTAGCACAATAGTCAGCTTTGGATTTTGAACTAACGCACTGGTAACTACTTAAAGTCAGGCAACTTCACCTTCCATGGGCGGAATTTTGTTCAAACTGTTTATCATGCACTCACAAAACACCTGACAACACCACTGATGTGTCTATGACAGTCAAACACAGCTGATCAAATACAGCTCACCTCTGGAAACTTCACATCTGAACTGCTGGTGTTTGAAAATTAGCTTCTGGAGACAAGCCCCGTTATGACAAGATGCCACACTGGTTTTGCTACTCCGCCAGCAGCACAGGGCCTGCCAGGACAAGCAGCTAACCAGTTTGCACGCCGGGTTTCTAGACTGGTCCTAGCATTCACGTACACTAAAAAATTGTATTATGCTCAGTCTATCACACACAGATGGAAAAACATTGCTTTGCATGTATAGCACCCATGTTTATTCATCATGAGCACAGCACAGCTTGGTTTTGAGTGATAGCTTCCTTCCAACAAATACATCCATCCTGACACAGAAGATGTTTTACTTCTCTTAAACCAGCCAGCAGCTACATTTCATATACCTAATGCAATAAAAATCACAAAGGATTCCTGACTTATCTCACACCAGCTTTTGCACCGGTGTAACACCACTAACAACTTCACCAGGTTTTAATCCTAATTTAAGCCCACTGTATGTCAGAAGCAGCTGCAGAATGTAAGTGTTTCTGCTGAAGAAATCTGCCAAAGGATAGTGCTACAGGGAGAAACAGACTTAGAAGGCATGTATCAGTCTGCCCAACACTGGTGTACCAGCATTTTCCAAGTATTTCCTCTATTTTTTTCACCACCTGGAGATCTATTTGGGGAAAGAACAAGTAGATTTTAAGTAACAGTACAGGCAGAGAAAAAATATCTAATATTGTAACTACAGCTTTGACTAGTTCCTCGTGTCATGTAAACACTGCATTCAATGACTTACGCTAACTCACTTCAGCAGGAATAGCTTCTTGTGTTTTTAAATTGCTGTCATCTCCATTTTAGTGCAGTCTGGTGCAACAGCTCTCCAAGTTTGTATCCAGGCCACCACCTCTTCTGCAGCCTTATCCTTAGGACAAGAATCAAAGGTTCAAAACTGCCACACATCAATTTGCCACTCTTTCTGCCACAAAAATCTTTCTAAGGAATTGTTTATTTTTTCAGGCTCCCAGACTCATGGCAACATAGTCTCAAGGAAAGACCTCAACAGAACTATTCACTGAAGCCATGACAAGTCTGCGCACACATAGTAGTACGAGAGCTTGCATTCAGGATTGCTTTCATCTTATAAACCCTAGATTTCTTACAGTGCATGACAGTCAGCAGATGTGGTCTCAGGGAATGCACACAGATGGGGAGTTCTCCAAGAAAATCTGGATCCACGTATGATAGCCATACATAGAGAAAGTTCATTTATTTCCCTCTCTTATACTAGACCTTCACAAGCTATTGAGATCCTTATTCCATAAGCAACTACAGGGTTCAGATAGGGAGCATTAGGAGATGCTAAGCAACTTCCATGTTGCTGAATTATGAATCGGTCCAAATCCATGTTCTTTTCTTTTCACAGGTCCAATACAGGCATGGGAACCATTTTCCCAAAATAAAGTCAATCTAAGCACCAGACACCTCTGTGCAGAGGACCATTTCTGTTGCGCAGTAGCTGAGGCTCAGATAAGAGTGGCCTACTGTTTGAACCCCTGTGTCTTCAAAGACCAAAGCTATAAAACTGAGTGCAAATCACAACACGCATATCTGACAGGAAAGTTAACGTCATTGCCATTATGCTTCTGTGTTCTGAGTGTGACTCAAAGCTGGCGCCTTGCCCACAGAACTGACAAGGTAAGACCACCCTGCTAATGCAGAGGCTCTCCACTACATTAATAATTCCTTATACTCTTGTCGTGGTTTAACCCCAGCCAGCAACTAAGCACCACGCAGCCGCTCACTCACTCCCCCCCATCCAGTGGGATGGGGGAGAAAATCAGGAAAAGAAGTAAAACTCCTGGGTTGAGAT